TTATACATATCACACAATAACTGGCATGGTTTAGGTGCACAGAATACATGCAAAATCAATACTGAATTAATTGACTGACTTACCTTGACATATGAAGAACCATGTATTATAGAATGAGATATATTTTCTAAGGGAAGGGGTAGAAAACCTTTGTATGAAAAAGGCATCACTGGGCTGGGTGTGGTGGTGCACGCCTGTAATCCCAGCACTCAGGAGGCTGAGGCAGGAGGATTGCTGTGAGTTTGAGACCTGCCTGAGCTACACAGTGAGTTCCAGAGCAGTCTGAACCACATAGTGAGACCCTGTCTCAAAAAACAAAAAGGCATCACAGCAGATAAATAGAATTGGATAGTACTTTGGAAAGAACTATGCAAATATTCTATTTTTCCTTGCAGAAGTATTTCATCTGACAACAAGAAGGCATTCAAATTAACGTTCTTTGAAACATTTAGCTTATAATCTCTCAATTGAAGTATAATTTTTTTCTTGTTAAATGTAACTTAGTGACAATAGCTAAATAGTGCATATTTGGAAAAGGTTCCTAAAGTCTTCAACAAAGCTTACAATTCTTGTAAAGGTCTGGAAAAAAGATAAGACTTCAAGACAGATACTGTTAAAATATTAATATCTCAGATAACTTAAATACTCAAAGTTATAAAATATATAGATATTAAGATGATAATGAACCAAGTAAGTAGGGGAAAATGTCCAGTTGAACTTAAATGCTTGAAACTATTTTAAGTGTACTTATCAAAGAGGGAAATTACTTTTATTGGATAAAAAACTTGAGCAATTTTTGAGAGGCAGTGAAGGGTTTTTCAACCTTTTTGATCTTAAACAGTAACCTATTTCTCATGTTAATGTGTATTTAAGACTTACTGGAAATTCTCATAATATGAGCTGAAGACTGATGTCTGGCAGCCAGCATATTTCTGAAATTGGGTCAGTTTTTATTACTATATTTTCTGAAATATGCTTTCATTGATATTTACAAAACAAATTGCCAGTTCACACAAAGGTTGTTTTAATAAGAGCCAATGAAAACAGCCGAGTTGCTAGGAAGAATGTTAAGGGGAAATGGACTTTTCATAACCTCACGTTGTAATTTTTTTGAACAAAAATGTATTATTTGAATGAGTTTGGGAATGAAGGGAATTAGTATGTCAAAATATCCACTTCAATGTTATATGTGATCGTTTTCATTGCAAGTGAAAAATATGAAATATAAGTAAAATTTAAGCGTTGCCAGTATGAGTTTGGCAACATCTTAGGAAAATGTCAGTCAAGAAATGGTGAATGTTGACAATAGTTCAGCTCTGGACATAGAAACTATCACTGGCTCCCAGTACCCACAGGAAAAATTCCAGGGTGTGCTGCCCAACTTTCACAGCTCTGGCTAATGTGAGCTCTCTATGCCTATCCACCTTTATCGTCCACTCCAGTGGTGTGTGCCTACCCTGTACTCCACTCAGTTGTCTCTGTGATATCCCTACATCGTGCCCATTACTCCCATGCAATCTTTACCCCAGTGACTTCCTTCTTCCACGCCACTCTTTATCATTAAACTTTTCTCCTCTATCTTTCAAAAAGCAGCTAAAACCATGGTGCTCTGGTCTTCATTTACCTCCTTTTACTATGGCAGTGATTTCTTTTTTACTTTTAATTGTTACCTACTTGCCCAGTAACTTCAGTATCATCTACTGAATCTACAATGCAAAAGCCTGCTGAGTAGCAAAGTTTAATATTTCATGTTTGTTTCCTTCTTCCTGGCTACAGTACCTAATAATCGTGATAAGCATGTAGTGGTCCTCAAGAAATGTGAAGCACATCACATCCATTGATTACACATTACTGTCTTAACCTGCTGGTCTATTTTGTCTTTTGAGCTCCAGAAGCAGTCCCGAAACCTGGGTCATGGTAACAAATTAAAGATGACCTCTGAAATGTAGTTGTTACATGTACAAAACAGGATTGGTGGTCACAGTCAGCCTTGAAAATGTTAAGAACATTGTTGAGAGGACATAAAGACATCGAGCATATAGTATCTGACACTTCACACATCCAAATCAAAACTCTGGATTCTTCTTTCAGTCCTGGGTTTCATCAAACCTTCATTTTTTCCCTGAATAGCGTTGCCATTTACCAAGAGAACTGCCAGGGCCCTTCTGACGTGAATTGTCTCCTCTTCATCATCCATAACCCATAATCGCTTCTTCACTAAATCCTGTTGGCTCTACCTGTGAGATGTATCTGACATCTACCCTCCTGGAACCACTCGAACTCTTACATCCTAAGCCAAGCCACAGCTGTGTTTTGTTTTGCTGTAGCTACAAAATAAGTCAAGAGATATAGCATTTAGTCTCTTAGTCCCTTTCTTGCTACCTTGGAGTCTGTCTCCGTGCAGTAGCCACAGAGTTCTTTCTAACAGATAAGCCAGAATAAAACTCAAGGACTCTGCCATGCCCTGAAAGGCTCTGTGTTCTGATTCTCCTTAGATCTCCCATAAGTCTCCCTTTCACTCAGCCCCCGGAAGCCACACTGGCCTTTTTGCTAATTCACAAATCCATCAGAAAATATGTTGCTACCTTACAGTCTTCTTCGCCCTTCTGTGCCTTCTGCCTGAAATAACCCTTCCTTGGGGAGTCTATGAGTCACTTCCACCGTTCCTTCAAGTTTCTGTTCAAATGTCAACTGCCCTGACCACCATCCTTGAACTAGAGTACATACTCTAGCCTCTAAAGATGGCTCCTCACCTTCTCCCTGTTAGAATTAGCTCATTCTGTCTCCTTCCAGGTGAGCGAAAGCTGTATGAGTCTAGTGAGATATGCCTTGTACACTGAGACAATGCCAAAACCTAAAGATGCCTGGCTTATAGAGGAACTCAGCACTTGCTGAGTGAAGAAAAAGTAATTGCTCAATAAGGAAGAGCTCTTAATAATAGTATTATTCTGCTTATAAGAATGGTGTGAAGGGCTGGGGATTTAGCTCAGTGGGGCTACCGCCTGCTTTGCAAGCATAGGGACCTGAGTTTGATCCCCAGTACCCCCCAACAAAATGATGTGAAAATTAAACAAACTAAAAGTGTGTGGAACACTGTTTACTCTGATATAAATTTTTATAATTATTATTATTCATATGTATATTACACCTCTATTTCAAATTCAACATATTCAAAACTGAATTAGTCTCCCCCATAAACCTCCACCTCATCCTTTGTGCTGTACATTTAACATCTTCATCAGTTTCAATCCCATTACCTCCCTCCCTTTCCTCCTCCTTTGATTTTATAGATCTTTTGCTTCTCTTTCATAGTTGACTTTATTAATTTTATTCAGCAACACATTTACATTCCTTTCATGTAAAGCCAAAGAAGTACGGGCATTTCTATTTGGATATTTTATTAAAGTCAAATCCCTAAATCTTTATTTCATTTTCTGAATGTTTAGTAACTTTTGTTTTGCAGGTTACATAAAAAGAATACACAAGACTCTCCATGATTTCCCTCAGTATTCGCAGTTACAGCTGTACACGATGCCCACTGGGATCCTAACAGTTTTCTAATGTTCAATGACCACCTCTACTCAAATGTTTAATTGCCCTGATATTTATTTTATATATGGTAGTAGACAGAAAAATGTAACAAGAAAATATTTATATCAGTTTATTTTATTTATATTTTTATTGTGCCATCTAAATATATTGAATATGAGTTACTACCAAAACAAAACATCTGGAACCTTTTTCAGATATTGTAAAGTAAAACTCTAGACTTTCTGCCTGTCACCACAGTGGCATTATTTTCATGTAGCTTCCTATTGAAATCATTTTTCTTGGTAATCAATGATATTGGCTGAGATATATGTTGGTTGCTGTTCTGTATAATGCCATCATATCAATGAAAAATATTTTGCTATTTTCAGCATCTTGAATTTTGCATATTGTTTTACTAAAACATTCTTATGTCAACTGTTTGAAGATTTATCAATATTGATTAAACTTTCACTGCTTGGATTTATGTTTTCCAAAAGGTTTTCTCATTTCAGCCAATAAATACTTTGCCAAAGTCAAAATCATGTAAATATACCCTGGTGACATGTTTAAAAATGTTTTTCACTCACTTTTTAGAAACACTTTACTAAAGTTATTCCAAATACTTTAATGCATAAAACTCATTCATGATATTTTAAATTTTCTCTTGATTATTGCAGAATTTTTCACTGGAAACATAAACTTTAGCAAAACACGGTAGCCACTTTGGGGTTTTTTAATGTTTTGCCTGTTCAACTTTTAAAAACACAAACTTTGGGCCAGGGGTTTAGCTCAGTGTCTCTGCTGCTTGCCTTGCAAGTGCAAGGTCCCAAGTTCGAACCCTGGTACTAAAAACAAATAAATTAATTATTTTTTAAAAAATAAAAACACAAACTTTGAGGTCTATTTCCATTCATAACTTACCAGTTACTAATAATCAATAATCAGAGCAGCATCTATCAATGATTATCCGTATATGTGCCCAGTGTCTAGTGTTTACTTACTTCATTTTGCAAAGCTTTGATAAAATGTATGTGTCCGGTGACTCTATGTACCATCTCCTGTTCTCTCCTTGTGTCACTCTTTATGACCCCCTCGTTTGTCTTTCTAGAATACCCATATGACCATATCATTTCTTGCTACACTTTCAAGTTCTGCTATTCTTTACTTGGTCCTTCCCAATTTTTTTTAGCTCCCTCCTAATCTCACATTTTGCCTCCTCTACCCAGACACTATCTCAGTGGACAACTAGATAACTCAAACTGCTAAAATAATTTTGTGCTTTGAGACATTAGTGTTATTTCATTTGTTTTAGCCTTCCTTCTCTGACAGCATTGGTTGATATTTTTTTCATTCTTTATGTCAATGAAGAATGAAATATGCTCATTACATGAAGCTATCCATGTCTTTCCATGTCCCATTACCAACTTGTCATGTTCCCACAGTACTTATATATACCCCAGGGATGGTGATCGCCATGTTTATTAGAGTGTTAATGTATTTGTCCTCTCACTTGACTGTGAAGTTCTCAGGGGCAAGAAGTAAAATATAGGACCTTTGGGTGCCCTCTCTGGAACACAGTGCCTGGAATACAAAGCGAATGACAGAACAAATGCAGTAGCTCCTCAAATTATTTGTGCCAAAACTGCACCCTGCAGTTTTAATTAGGTCTTCTCTACCTTCCACAATTCTTATTGAGGGAAAACATTAATCATACTAAATATGTAGCATACTAAATTTTGACATCTGCATATACACTCATAATCTATCACCCATTTGAAGATGTAGAACAGTTCAAACAGAACCTATAAAAGATACTTAACCTCCGGTTTTCCCAGTCGAGCCCAGCCCTCCCGAGAGTTAGCACTTTTCTGACTTCTGGCACCGTCGGTGATTTTACCTGTTATTGACTTTACATAAGTGAACTAACGCAAAATGTAATGTTTTTATTTAGCACAATGACTGGGAAATTCAGTGGTGTTACCCAGTTAAGTAGTGTGCCCTCTTCTGTAGCGGTATAGTGTTCCATGGTATGACTGTGCTGTGATTTTTTAAATGCGTACTCTACAAGGTTGATATCCGGATCACACTGACTTTGAGAAGTTACAAATAATCCTGCTGTGAAATGCTTGCACAAATTTTTCCTTGGACATGCACATTTATTTCTCTTGGGCGTGTACTGAGAATCAGAAGTGCTGGGCCTCACTATGTTTAGCTCTAGTAGCTCCTACTTTGGAATTTTCCAATAGAGTCCCACCAATTTATTTTGATGAGTAACGTATGAGAGTATGAGCCACTCGTCAGTCTTTTAAATTCCATTATTTTTATTGCAATTTTCCCCCTCTCTATCGTAGATTTGTTTTAGTTAACTCCCAACTAAACCTTTTCTGCCATGGCAAATTTAATTGCCATTCTGTGAATTGTTCCAGCTGTTCAATCCCATTTTAAGCTGACGCTTAAAAACTAAATACAGCTTTCCAAGTATAAAGACACTCTGGTTTTTATGTTTTCTATTTTATTCTCATTTTTTCTAGATATGATCAGCAAGGACCTTTCGATACAACTGCAATATATTGAGTTAATGGTTACCGGGAAGCTAAATCGGTATTTAGAGCCTCTATACTTGGAACTACAGTTGGAATGTTTCACTAAGTGTAACATATTTGCATATTGAATTTTAACCAAAATATCTGCTTTCCCAAATATCTGCTTGGTGAAATGTCCATGCCTTCTTTACCCATCTCTTAATTGTAATGTCCTCATTACAACCACTGCTAATAGACAGTGCCCAAGGAGATGGAGAAGAAAGGTCACTAATCCATGAGTCAGGGCAACCTTTTGCTATCTGTATCACCTTGATCAAGTCTCCATGGCATAGATATTTTTCCATTTGCAAAATGAAATAATTAGAAAAATTGCAACAACAAAATAAAATCTGCCAGCATTGAACTTTATAATTTTAAGGTTTTATGGTATAGGTTACTTTTCATATCTTGTGAAAAAGCAGTTAATATATCCCATCAAGGATAAGGCTGAACTGTGAAGTCCCATCGCCATGCAGAGAAATGCCATTTTTAGCCTTATCACTGTCTTTATGCCAGCTCTATAACTACAACAAACATTCCGTATACTTCTGAGTAGTTTTGGTACACAAACTTGTGAAGTGCTTTCTTTTAAATAAATTCTGTCCTGCCCTTCCTCTGTCCTCAAACCTTGAAGTCACTTTTTATTCGTGTCTTTCTTATGCATTTTCTGCTAAACATGATTGTAACATGCAGCCATGAGTGACACAGATGATATAATAATTTCTCAAGCTGCACATATTGAATAGAAATGAAAAGGAAGTCTTCCACATTCTTGGTTAAGCTAGTAAAAGTTAGTAATATTGAGTTCACTCACCTTTGTCTTCACATCAAATGTCTAGGAGGCTGAGTAAGGAAAAGGTCAGTTTCCTTAGTCACAGTTGTTATTGTCACTGTAAAGGCAAGTGCAAAAGCACTCATCATTTCAGTTGCCATGCATATCGTAAGAATTTGGGACATGCCCACAAAAACATTTGTGGGAACATGGTCTACTGGAGCCACATTCTCAGCCCATCCTACGGAAACAACTATAGATGTGTGGTATCCCACTTTGCGATGACACCTTTGCTCAGGAGGCGTAGTCTTCAAAGGAATAGTGATCTGGCTGTCAGAGCGTGCCTTTTTGCTTAGTCCTTCTTGTGCTCAATAATTAAGAATAATCAGTTACAGTCAAATGTTCTGGTCATGTGTAGAAGTTTTCTTGGCTTGAAATTGAAACAGGAATGGGCCTCTTGTTTTACTTTTATTTGTACCATCTTTAAAGCAGCTTAGGAACAAATCCCTGTTTTGATTTTGAGCCTTGATTTATAGTTGTAAAATACTGTTACATGTAACTTCTTTGGCTTTTGCTCTTGTGCATTTCCCTCCAAAGGCCAATGCTATGTGACGATGATTATGCCTTTTTGTGTGTGTGATTATGTCTTGTGCCTCTGTGTTCTATTCCTAATGCCCAGAACAGTGTTTACAATCTTCAGTAAATATCACTTGAATGAGGGTATGACTTCCCACTTCAATAGTTTTTCACTAAGGTCCAGGTTTTGAGTACTTAACTGTTTTCCAAGACCATGTGGTTGGAATCAGGACTAGCAATCAGGTTTTCTGATACTAAATCCAGTGCTCTTTTCATTACACATTGAAAGAGCTATTGTAAGGACTCTATTAGGGAATCAATAGAAGAGGAATAATTACCATGAATTACTGCCCTGATGGATCCAATAAATAGATCCCACGTACTTACGTAATTGAACAAAATTAAGAACCATAACCAGTTCTTGAGCTTGACATTTATCATAATCATTGACTGAGTATTTTGTCACACAGACCTTAAACAAGGCTTGCATGTATAATGCATGAGTTATGTGGGTCTGCAAGGTTTTGTATAAGTGAAGGAATGAGCAGGAAACAGTTTTACTCAAAAAACCCTGCTCTTTCTAAGGTCACTAGAGATCTTCTAATTACCTCTGACTACATGCATTCTTCACCTGGCTTCAGCCACACTTTCCCACCCAGCTCTCCTCCAACTCTCCTTATCTGCCTCCTAAAATATTTTCCTCCAAAATGTGCCCATTGAAGGGTGCTTCAAAGAAAGTCAAAGCATTGGAGAAAGAAAAACCTTGTCAACTGCTTCAGGTGCCCCCACCACCACACCAACTATCAATCTTGTTTGCCCTGCCAGGAAAATTGATTGCTTCTGGTCAGTACTTCTTACACTCCATCTGTCTATTTGGGGACTTACCCATTTTCCTCATTCAGAGAGAGGTGGTCCACCTCTTTCCTTGAACAATTCCTGTGGTCAGAGCATCTCGAGAATTCAGGATCACTGCATAGTACAGCTCTGGAAAGCAGTGATCCTAACTCCCTCAATCAAAGTGAGGAGGCCAGTGGATGGGACTCAGCAGCATTTCCATGGGGAAATGAGCATTGTTTGCTCACTTTCAGCAATTGTCCTATCTCAGCCCTGTGTTTTGTCCGTCGTCTGCAATTTTTTACATCAGCTACCTCTCAGGAGAATTTAGTAACTGCTTACTGAGCTGAATTGCTACTCGTTCTTGCCCTATGGAGACAGGAAGCACGTTCTTTCTGCCTGAAGCATATTCTTATAATTTTTCTGACACACCCTCAAGGTGCTGTTGAAGAGACCCTACAATTCCCCACTAACATCATAAATATTTACCTTGCTGGAAGATATGGCACTGCCAGATCACCTTCATTCAGCTCTTCTTCCTCACTCCATATAATCTGGAGACCAAATTTTTAGATCTGAAAGTCAGGACACAATAAGATAAAAAAGTTTACCCCTTTTCCAGGTACAGTTATTAAAGACAGCGTGGGCGTTGTAATTCTGTTGCCAAGATAGTGTTGTTTGTTGGAAAATTTGTTGAATTTGGGGGACAACAGGTCAGAGTATGTAACCAGGACAGACTTGTACTTTGTATGATTCAGAAGTAGCTTTGGGAATTCCATACGCAGTCAGGGTGGGCACAAAAATTAAACTTTATCAATGGCCTCATATAAATAAATAAATGACTAGTGAGGACATTTGCATTAACTGCAAGAAAGTGAATTATTTTGGTGCATGACAAAATAGCGCATAACATTTATCAAGCAACAGCTGTGTGACATGGATGGGTCATTAGAAAGAATATTAGCTGGTTGTTTTGTTTCCACTGGACAGCTCTTTTGCCAAGGCACAAGTTTATGGAATGCCTCACAAGACTAGTGGATAAGTGACATTTATATTAGAGGAAGGAAGTTAGGGAAACAACAAAAAATTACTATAGGACAAGTGATAAGCTCATATTGAGTGTTAGAAATCTGTCATGTTTTTTAATGTGGAACAGTACTGACTCAATATCGAAGGTACTTGAAAGTAAAAGAAAGACTTGTGACTGAGAAGAAAGTTGATGAAAAGTTGTAGCTTTCAATATATGATGATGAAAAGATATCTCCTTTCTTTGGGGTAAGTCCCAGACTCCAATTTTACATTTGTGAAGCAATTAGCAGGACTCCTCTTGGTTTTTCTTGGTCTCTTCCATTAGAAGAATGTCTCTGATATGTAATATTTGTTTGAAAACCCAAAGAAGCTTGTTTCCTTTTGAGGTTTGCCTTACTTTTTATGTTTTGAAGTTCATTTTGGACCTCAGATTTTGCTCCAAGCAGTAAAGCTAGTTGAATCATAGTAACATAACGGAGCTGTAATTTTAGCCCACTGTTGGGGGTGGAGAGAGAGTTAAGGTGTGTAGTGGCTTCTGTGGTTTCTCTGTGGAGTAGAATTCCCTGCAAAGCTTTTCCATGTGGTGTTTTAATAGCTGTCTTAAAACTTTCTGATGCATGGAGCAAAACTGAATGAGGCTCATGTGCTAGATTGGTGGGATGGTCCAAGGTCTCTGAAAAATGAAAGAAAACAACCAAATAGTCTAAGCCAGAGGCTAAATCGTCCAAAGAAGATCCTAGGGACACAGTCAAAATCAAAATTATAGAAGCAATCACACCTTCTGATCCATTTTTTTCAGAGCTTGCTATAGGGAATTACAATATTTCTACTGCATGTGTTAATATTTTTGCTTAGGCACGATGCTGTACAATTTACAAAATAATCCTAGGTGTATTTGTTCATTAAGGCTCATAATAAATCTTTTTAAGACGGTATTATCAGACTCCTTTTTTAAAATGAGGAAACAAAATCACAAAGATAAGTGTTAGATCATTGGACTAAGATACAGTAGAAGGAATTTGGCACCATTTCTGAGATCTGCATCTTTACACCAGAACTTCAATAACAGTAATTAGTGATAATGTTTAATATTTATGAAGACAAAGAAAACCAGCTGGCTAGTGTATGCATGCATGGTAAAGCTCTTTTGAGACTACTGGCTTCTCATTGCTGAATATCAGTATGTATGGTGTTATCTAGGCATCAGAGGAATGAGCTCCTCTCTCATTCAAATGCTCAGTGATTCAGAGGGATGATTCTTTACAAAGTGTTAATAAGAGTGCCTGATAAAATGCCACATGCTCAGTCAGCCTTCCCATGTAAAAATTCTTTTTAGTGTGTGGCTTGGCTACTAAATTCAAGAAACGTTTATGGAATGCTACTATATGCCAGACACATAGGCAAAATAGGAAGTTGTCTAGGTGGTATTATTACAGGAAAAAATTCTGGAAATGAAATATGAAATATTATGTCACCCAACCTGTTAACTGTATGATACCCTGAGTTCTTGTTCTCTAAATATCGAAGAATGAGTCCTAGAAACACTGCAGGTTAAGAGTAGGAAGGTATTGATTGGTAGGAAAGCTCCTGAGGGGCAGAAGGGGTCCCAAGTGGGTAGCCCATGGAACCCCACTTTACAGAGGAGTTTTTTAGGGTGAAACCAATGTGGATACAACTTGAGCCATAGCCATGAACACCCAATAAGGTTACAGGTGTGGTCACTTAGGTAATAGCGGTCCAATTGGGAAACAAGTCATGTAACAAGAGTGGATAGAAAGAACAAAGATTCCCCTAGAGTGATGGGTCCAGAGGTCTCTGGTCACCCACCAGAAGGGTTGATGTCTGTCTAGATGTCCCAAAGCCCAGTGCTTGTTCTCTGAGGAAATAAGTAGGTCTGGTCATCTTGTCTTTATCTTGAGGCCTGGTTTACAGCCAGTGTGTCTCCAGTTGCCACTATGGTGTGTTTCTCTTTTGTCCTGACCCTCTCCAGGACCTAGCCCTATCTGATGGCCTATAATATTTCTACCTAGCTCATCTATCTAAAAAGCATGAGTCTAGGAGGACCTTTTCCCCTGGCCCATCCCATGCCTAAAATACCACCATCCACAAGAGCACCCTTTTGAATCAGTCCAGAAGTCACTCAGATTCCTTTTTGAAAATGCAGATATCGTGGAGAAAAGAAATACTTTAAAATGGTCCTGGACACTAAGGCCTTGAGATATGTTCACTTATTTGATTACCATATCGGCTGTTAGAACCCTGAGTTGAGTAAGTGGTCTGATGGGTAAATTTTATTCTACCCAGAAAGGGGTGGTAGATCTGGAAAGGACTCTAAGGGGCTGTACAGCTGGAACATAGCAGCAGGCTGGGGAGCTTGTCTCATCTGAATAGAGGAAGTATACCAAGGGTCTCTGTCAAACATAAACTAACTACTTTTCTTTTGTTCTTATTTTAAGAACTACTCCTGTGTGACGTCTTTGTTTTAGGTCTAAATGCATGAAATTCATCAGATTAATATTTGCAGTTTAACCAGAAAACAGTTTATCCACTTTGCACTTCTAAAGCAGAACCCCATTTCTAACAAAAAGTAGTCTGGGGCAGCTCTCTTTTTCCAGTCCTCATAGAGTGCAGTCTCATCACCCACCTTGGTCAGCCAGCGTACGCATCGCCAGCTCAGTGCCTTCTCTCCTGCCTCTCATTGCTGTTTTGTTTTTTTTTTTGTATGGTGGTGACCGCTTCCTGTCTTGACAGATTAGCACACGATACCAGGTGCCTGAAGAACGTCTCCCCACACACTCTTGCATTCTCCCCGCTAGCTCCAAAAAATTGCACACATTTAGAATTTTCGAAATTGCATGTTCCTAATTTTGGTTCTCACTTCCACGGACCTAAAAGATTTTAGGCACACATCACTTCATAAATTTGTCTTTATCAAAAAGAAAATTATTTTACAAACTCATCGCCATCCAAACTAATACTAACTGTATTTGTTTTGTCATAGACTAAACTGTTGATATTGCTTGACTTTGTTCCTGGTTCACTCCCAAGCTCTCCACACTGGGAGTGGTGTATATGATGTAACCGCGCTTGTTTTCATGAGTGAGGAGAGAAGACGCCCACCCCCCAATAATATCCACCATGCCAGCCCTGGTTATTGTTGGGAGCCGTGCCTAGAAGGTCTTTCTCATCATACAAATCTCAAGAGGTGGGTGCTGTCGTTGTCTTCATTTGTGCCCAGGGCACGGAGGACTTGCAGCTGGTCCACTCAGAGTCTAGTCCCGGCAATCTGCCTTCTAAGTCCAAGCTCTTAACCACTGTGCCACAAAGACCTGTGAGCCTCCAAGGAGCCAAGCATGCAGATGCCCAAGTGGGCCTGTAAAGGAATGGTCAGGAGGGAAGGAAAGCCCTGGAGTGAGCTGGCCCCTCTGTACTTATCTTATCACTTGCTCTTCAGTAGTACCTGAAGCAACACTTCACACAGCACAGCTGGACAGCATGAATCAGGAGTGTATGGGGGGTAGAGAAACTCCCTGGCCCTCTTCAATGGTTTTTCAGAGATAGTCCTCGCCTACCCAACAAAATAAACTTCTAACTCCGTTTTAAACATGAAGCGCTTCCTGAAGTGCTGCTGGGGAGTGTTTGATCATCTGCTTTTCAGGAGCAAAGCTCAGCTGTGTAGCATCTGCCACTGCCTGAGTCTAAATACTCACCATAGGAGCTGAAAAGACTTAGATGCTCCCACTCGGGCATCTCCATGCTTGGCCTGCTGTGGCAGACCCCAGGCAGCGCCTGTGCACTGGCAACAGGGTTTGCTACACTGCACTGCAGCGGCTCCTTGGAGGCTCCCAGGTCTTTGTGGCACAGTGGTTTCCCTTTCTCTTCGCTTCCTGGCTGCCACGAAGCCAGCAGCTTTCCTCTACCTGGCCACTTTACTGCGTTCTGCCACACCACAAGCCTAGGAGCGGTGGAGCCAGGTGACCATGAACCAAAGTAGTCAAAGTCAGAAACCAAAATAAACTTTTCCTGCTGTGACCTGTTCATCTCAGGAACTCGGTCACAGTGATGCAGAGCTGACTAACACAATAGGAGATGGGAGACTTGGAAGAGGGGGAGAGGAGATAAGAGCAGTTTTCCTTCCTAGTATCTGATTGCTTGTCTGGGTCACTCCAGGGAGACTTGTCTTAGCAGAGAAATTGCCTGCAAGACTGAGTTCCTCAAACCGAGCCCCGTTAGATCAGACAGGACGTGTTCTCCTCCTAACAACCTCCAGGGCCATGGACTATATACCCTGCACAGTTTCGTGTCATGCTACATACACTCCAGCGTTTTGATTCTGAGGGTCAAACTCTTCTCAGCGCCCCAGTGTACTGCGTGTCTTGAAAAGAATCAATCTATGTTTTATTATAGAGTTTTACGTATAGAGTTTTAATCTACCGTATTCTGTGTGTATCAGGCACTGAAAGGCACAAAAGCATTTAAAATATAACTTGTGGCCTCAAGAGTTTACATTCTAGTTGAGGAAACTTGAAAGCCCCATGGACCATTCCCTGAAGAAGGCATGATGGTAATATGTCAAACTAATTTTTATAATGAATTGTGAGGAATACATAATTAAAGAAGAGTCCATAATAAATATGTACTTAGTAAAGAGAACTATTTGTATTGCCCTTGTTCGTCATGTGACAGTGGATGTCCATTATTTAAACCTATATCTTTGACTTAGTTTACAGTTAGAATCCTTTTTAACAAATACAATTGCAGCAGAGCTAGTTCTGCGTAATAAAAATACCTTTCTTCTTCTGGCCCAAAGCCCATACTAACAGTCCTTTGATGAGGGAAAGCCAAAGCTCCTTTTGAAGGAAAAGCCCAGTATGAGAAAGAATATTCGCAAATCCCTGTCTGTTGTTTGGCAGTAGCTTTACTTAACAAAAAGGCTGTGGGTTCCGCAGAGTGCCCACATAAGGTGTGCGTTCGCATATTGGTACAGTATGCAATAGTTCTTAAGAAAAGCTGACTTATTGAATGTTGTATTGACTTAACTTGAGGCTTTGAAATGTGTCCTGATGAAAATCCTCCTTGGGCTCTGATCAGCTCTGGGTGGAGGACCATGGGAATCTCCTCAGGCCCCGCTGAGCCAGCAGAGGCTGAGGACTGGAGCACTTGTGCCCTCCCGACGCCTTTCCCTGTGTCTGCCCATTGCTTGTGCAGACAGAAGGAAGCATTCACAGCGTCATGGTCCAAAAGGTGCTTTTCACTTGGTCTTGACAGTGTTTTAGTAATTATATTAGATTACGGAATGCCTACATAAAATTTGGAGAATTTGCAGTATATGAAAGAAAAATAGCTCTAAACCTACCCCGAGTCTCTAGTGTAGGAGACAAACTGAGATGGCCAGGTTCTCCTAAGAACACCGTCTTGCCTTGGGCGTAGGTGTTTGGGTTGAGACACCCCTGCCAGGTTTCTAATTAGGTGAGACTGGTCAAGTACATAAAAATGGATTGTGTCCATTCATGACTTGATTCCATCCTTTGAATGCCCTTATCGATAACTACTCAGGGCAAGACTCTGTATTAATTCTGTGTAACATGTGCCCCCAAGTAACAGAGCTAACTTTATTTCTTATGATGTTTTGGGTGTGCCGGACGAAAACCCTCTTCCTTCACCCCTGGATACTTCCAGGGCTGTTTGTCTTAGATGATTAATATCCTCTTTCTCTCAGCTCATGCTAATTATACCCAAACTTCTCGAACTGCTTATAAATAAGGTGACCTCCAGGTAGGAGCACTGCTATCCTCACAAGTGTGTTTGATAGGATTGTGCATATTTTACTTGCATTCTTCTCACCACCAGTGGCCAACAATTCTTCCTCTATACTAAATTTCTTTTGCGCCCCTGTGTGCTTCAATGTTAGGTCTCTCTGCAACTGTGTTTTGGGGCAGTGTAGGTGGTGGGATGTTTTTCATAGCATTAGCAAAATCTAATTTGTGTCTGTTTTTCTTTTTTTCCAAAAAAAAAAAAATAATAATTCCCATTTCTCAAACTGCTACCAGTGTGAAGTTCGGAACTTACAGTTGCACTGAATACTAAGGGTCAAATCAGAAATTATAGTTGCATAACATCATTTATTTACCTAGATTTCCAACTCACACAAGGGGAAACGACCCGCTCTTCGTTAGTGATTAGAGCACTCTACTTTTCCTAGCATCTCGCTGCCCCCTGCTGCAGCAGGCCGTGCACATCCTCCTCTGCAGAAATTCTCTGTTCGCACTGTGGCTTTGGGCCTGTCCACGTTTGGGTGGGTTCTGGTGATGTGGTTAGATACTAAACTATAACTCCACCACAGTCCTCCATGGGACCTCTTCTGCCACGTGGATCCCATTTCTGAAGCAGGTGTTTTGTGGGCAAGAGAGTACAGACCAGAAAGTGCGCCCCACCTGGACGCTAAACCCCTTCAGATGGAGAGATGTGGCCAGGATGCCCAGTGCATCTCAGAGTCTGAGCAAATGCAGACCTACTCTCGCTTAGGGGAACTGTTTCCAGGTAACCTCAGAGACCTCACCAGTTTTAGCATAGCACCACGAATTGGAGGACCAATCTGGTGTTAAGTTCCATTATGAAGCAAAGAAACAGAAAGGTCACTTGGTGATCATGGAACTTTTTTCTAAATAATACATTATAAATATCACTCTAAGATTTTAGAACCAGAATGTTAAAAAAAAAAAAACAGATATTCTGTATTCCAGTGCCAAATGAACAAACAATGTCCTAAACTCAATAGAAAAGCTTAAAACACATAAGGTCATGTCTACCTGTACTCATACATGCAGCTTGTACAATGCACACTTGGTAAGTTTTTTATGCTTTTACATACAGTTTTGTTTTGGCAGAAGCGTTGAAAATTATATGGTTCTTATTAGTAAGTTTCCATGGAGAAAAATAAGAATTTAATTAAGGACAATAATTATTTGAGAGTAGAAAAGAATTTGCACTAGATCCTCTCCCACCTGCACCCTCGTTCTGGCATCAGCCTGGTTACGAACTGAACTGAACCAGAGGGAGAAGCACACAAAGTTGTGTATTTCACTGAAGGTGTGCGACCTTTGCAAATCTCCTTAGGCGTTGTTTTGGCATCCACCAGGAGCAGGTTTTACTCTGTAAATCAGATCTCTAGAGAGGAGCTAGAGGGAAGTTCGGATGTGGTATAAAGCCTCCACTTTATAAGGTGGAGAGGAAGACCGACCAACCGGAAGAGGTCAGAGGGTGTGCCCGCCCCTCTGCACCTCTCTCACCAGACGCCTTTGACCCTGTGCGCTTCCTCCATCTCTCAGCTCCCAGGCATGCACAGACCTCTTTCCAGCAGCACACAATGGGGGCCCCATTGGGATCCTCCCCAGGTGCCTCGAGGAACTGCTTCTTTTCAGCAGAATCATAAGAAACACAGCGAACGGAATTATTGATGAGATCGCTGTCCTCTGTAACATATTTCTTTGAATTATTCGATGGAAAAGTTCATGGCCAAGTGTCAAATCTTATCCCTTTTCTTAGAAATGGAAAGAATCCCTTTGCGAATTAGCAATAATATTCTTGTGTTACGTTCGAAGGAAGGGATGTGTTCCAGTTCTCCTTTGGCGGCTCATTCGATATTACCCAACATCTAATAACTTTTTTTTTTTTTAGCTCTTTCTCTACCCCGCAAAGCAGAGTCTGAGAGTGTAGCCTGGAACAACACAGTTTGCCACCTTTGAGACTAGATCTTAATGTATACTTGCAACCGAAGAATGAACTACTGTACAACCACAAATTCTTCTTGGGCAGCATTGTAGTGAAAAAAAATATCATCTTTAATAATTACCTTCCTAAAGACCTCAAGAAAACTTTGTGGGGTTTTCCCCCTTCAAGAAAAAATTGTTTTGTTTTGTTTTAAAGCCAAGGGGCGTGAAATTTGGCACAATACTGCCGCCTTGTGGCTGTTTCAAAGACGCGTATTTCTGCAGAGTTAACCCTGTCTAGGTAAGATTTGCTGGAAATAAGATTTGCAGTGGAAATAAACTTCACACAAAATGACCTCATCAAGAACACTTAGTAAAAAAATTTTTTTTAATGTCTAATTCCGTCTGATTTTGTGACAGAACGACTGGAAGTCTTCCATCGCTTTCGTGGTTGGTAACCAGATTGAAGATGATCTTCTCATTCAAGCCCTCACCTTGGCTGTCGAAGTCCCTCAGCGCAAACTCTTCAGTATAATTTCATGGCAAGACATTCTCCAGCAGGTACCTGTGCTCTCCTTCCTCAGTACCTCTCAGAGACCTTTTAAATTTTTAAAATTATTTTAAAATTTGCATACTCTTGGGCTGTTTTGTAAATGCTGGCACATTACCTCAAATACTGAGCTAGAGTAAATTGGAATTGTTTAGCTTGGCGAAAGTAATTTTCGTTCACTGAGGTCATCCATTCAGCATTCGTGCATTTGATGGAGATTTCTGTGGCCAATTCTGGGCACCATGCTAGGCTCTGTGCGGAATTACTTAATAAAAAGTTAAATAATAACAAAAGGCTAGACTAAATAAGGTCCCCAGAAGGTACGTGACTAATGGGAAAATGAAGTCTAAAGAGAATCATAGCCGGCAGGGCTATATATATATATAGCCAGTGAGAATGATAACATAGAGATCTTACAGATGGCACAAAGCCATAGCGATCACCAGCTCACCCTGGTGGCTAGAAATACTCCACCTGACCGGTGAGGACCACTTCCTCACCAGCCTCACCAGCCGCTTAAGTTACTGAGGTATTTGAAAGTTACATGTATTGACGTATTCCTTAACTAAGCCCTTTTTTGTCCTGACATGTAAATTGAACTTTCTTACAGATCAATGAAATAAGCACACTTGTTTCATCTAAAAAGGCAAGAAAGCCTGCAGATGGTAATGCTCCATTATTTTACGAGGTAGGTGAAAGTCTTCACTGACTAGATTTTTGTAATTTTTAGAAAGGATACCCAAAGTGATAATGCGATTAACTTTTTATTCAATTCAATTTTTAAAGTAAATTCCCTGCTTCTCACTGAACATGTGCTGCTCCTGATGGTAGACACACACACACACACACACACACACACACACACACGCACGCACACACACACACACACACACACACACACACAAAACCCTACCTCATTTTAAGCAAAATCTTCCTTTACTTATAAAATTGTCCTACATCCTTTAAACTGCCATTAAATCCAGTTGAAAACCATACGTCAGAAGCTGTTCTGTGCAAAAGTGTAGCGTCCTGTGTTTTCATGCTAATTACTGAGTATGTAAGGGTATTAAAGGAAGTCATTATTAAAGGAAGTCATTATTGATTCTACCACAGAAACAAGAAAGAATTTCTTGTGAGAGACAGAGCCACCGCCTGAATAATTTTCCTTCAGTTTTTGGACTTTGTGCACATTTTATACTCGACTCTAGTTGAATTGAAAATAGTGACATTCTTCAGATCAGTGGCTCATGCCATTCTGGCAGTTGCTTGATAGGAAATCTGTCATCTGCAGAAAACTTAGAACTCCTGCTCAGTACAAGGGGATTCTTCTCACCCTGCTTTGTTAATATTAAACTTACATCTTGCAAAAAAAAAAAAAACCATAAAACTCTAGTGATCAATTAGAATGTCACAATTTGTCAGGAACCATCTTAGGACTCTGCAGACCTACAAAATAAAGATGTTTGGATCTTTCTAAGGCAAATATGTTAGCCTTTTATCTTGTTGGTGACTATTAAAGTTTTTTATGTGTCTAGGACCTGGGATGATTCTGTAACGATCTCTTTAGGATTACCTAGGTATTGCCATCTGACCAAGTTTTGCTTGAGTTATTCACAATTGACATTGTTGTGAATTTTAAGTCATTAATTCAGGTTATACTGCTCTCTCAACCATGGAAAACTTATTCTGTGTTGTCGTAGTCAACTACCACACTCTGTCTTTTGTTGTGATCATCTGATGTGTATTCTCCAGTTGAAACATTACGTTACCTGGATTTAAAATCCTGGAAGTTTTTCTTCAGAAGTAGTCATAGAAATTCAAGTCCAATTTTCAGGCCTGGGATTAATTAGCTCCCGCAAAGGATTCTTTCTTCTTCAAAGATACTCAGTAAAAATCAGAGATGATAACAGGGCAGTTTGACGTTTAATCTGGGCAGGCATTTTGACTTGGATGTGGGCTAGCACAATGCTACAAATCCAGAGTTCAGTGAGCAGCCATTCCTCACCAATATGTCCTGGGACTCTTGGTTGCATATTCTTCACTCAGGGGAGGTCCCCCTCACATCTGGCTTTCCCACATTCTTCCAGTGGAGCATTCGGGCAATAAGCCTCCCACACCCGTTCACATACCCTTTTCTGAGTGATTCCAGAAGGGAAGAGAAGGCAGGGTGGAACACCATGAAGCTTGGACAATGGGTGCACGAGGTATTCATCAATGTCCATCACTGTGGCAAAACGATAAAGAACATAAAAGCAAATGAAGTGGATGGAGGCTTCCCGTCAGCATTATCCAAGGGCAGATTGCGCCTCTGGAAAAGAGGGGCGCATCTCTCATTTGGTTCCTTCACACTGCAGACCTGTTCCAGAACTCTGCTGGTGCCTTCTCCCAAGTGAACTGAAAAGCTGCTGGCCATGACCATAGAGCATCAAGGTAGTTTTGAGTTGGGGCCACGGGAGAACCAAAAACCAGTATCTCTTGGGACTTTTCGAGCCATGTGAGAAACTGTGCTCCTTGATCTGCTTCCGTTGAAAGTTTCATGCGATCTATTGCAGCCAGGTCATCTGTAACAGGTAAACTCATGAGGGCTATTCAAGAAATCTTATAGCTACTTTCTTGAGGAAACTTGGTGATGCGAGAACAGATACTCTGACAAAACTGCTTCTTCCATGGGATATTTTAGAGTCCTGTTTCCTTTCAGACCTCCATTTTGGAGAGAAAAAAAAATCCATCATGAAAAAAGGCATACTCTTAAGTGCTTATATTTACTTGTCAGATGCTCTTTTTGGCCTTAAGTCATAGCCTTGCTGTTTTGGCTTTAAATGCAATTATCTCATTTGTCTTCCTGGTTTCCCAGCTTGTGGTTGGAGCCTGGTTCCCAGACACTGAAAGTGAGACCTCACTATAGCACAGCTTCTCCATAAGTAATAAAAGAGTATCAGAGCAACATGACATATTCTCAGTGAAGACTTGAATGTCTGGGCTAGCAAAGGCCACATTCCTGAATGATTTGCTTAAGGTTTCATTTGGATGGGTTGGTGTTATATACACACAGCCCCATTTGAAATTGTGTAATTTCCCCTGAAACCTAGAATTTCATCTAGCCATCCTATTGTATATACGAGCCTTCATTCATAAGCTATAGTTCTTTCAAAACCTGCTTTGACTTGCCCTAATTCCACAGAAACATCATTCAGCTTATTTGTTCACTCACCTCTTCTTTTTGGAAAACATCTTTTGGTCTAGCGGGAAGTGCTCCAAGGACTCAGAGAGGAATGGGAATAAAATCTCTTCCTCCATTGTTATATTAATGGATAATGAGAATGAGAATAATCCTAGGCACTGGCATCTGAGGGCCATTCCCAACATACAGTACTGTTTGAGGATGTGAACACGCATAAAAAGAGGTCAACTTGTATTGTTCACAATATATATTGGCCAGTTTTACCAGCTATTAACAAATGCATCAGTGTCCAAGCATTATAAGTGCAATGGAGAGGGAGGAGAATGCAAACTCTTGTGGAGAGTCTAACCCTGAGAAGTTTCAGGACCAAGGACAAGAAAGAAAAAAGATATGCACTGAAACGTGGCACCTAATGGGCATTCAATAAACATTTGTTAAATAACAGGATGCAGGATGCAGGGACAAGGGGAATAATGAGAACCAAGACCTGTCATGTAAAGGTACAAGATCCCAATGATGAAGGTAACTGTACTGTATACCTAGAATGTACCAATAAACTCAATGAGGAAAAAAAAAAACAGGATGCAGGAAATAATGAAATACTTGGGCTAAGATTTTTCACTTTACCACAAACCCAGCCGAGTTTCATCAGCCTCAAAACTGTCCACCTCGGGGTGAGTAGTACTTGGCAATCTAAGGGAAGGGAGTAGATTGAGCAATGCCACTGGAAAGGAGCAAGACTGAATTAATATACATGGGTGATCTCCAAACACGGTGGATGTTTACGTTAAAGAGAAATTTATTGTAGCAAAATAAATTAAGCCATAAAGACCCCTCATAATAAATAGTTCCCCTTGCTTTGAAGACATTTATTCCTTCATCCTTGCCATTTTCTGAAGCAGTGCTGGAATTCTTCCTTCGGGGCTATCTGTTAAAGCTGTGATCAAAACTACAGTGGTTGCTGCTGCCAAGGGCCCTCCAACCGAGAGGAAGCCTTGTGAAAACATCACGGTGTGTCCTCATCCACCTTATTCACAAGCCTGGCACTATTCAGGTTTGGGCCCTTTTTCAAAGTCAAAGTAAACATGAAAGGTTAACGTTTTGAATCAGTTCAGGTCATCAAGGCAGCCACAACCACTCAACTAAAGATATTCACAGAAGAGGACCTTCCAGAACTGCTTCAGAGAGTGGTGTTGACAATGGGAACAGTGCGCTCTAAGTCAGGAGAAATATTTTGAGGGAGATTAACAACAGTGTCTTGTACTGTAATACTGTTTTTTAAATTTAAACATTCACAGTATGTTTTGATCACAGCTTGAATGAGGGATTTGTTGTTCCATGATAAATTATCCCTAACCAGGAAAGCTAAGTCCTAGACGTCTTTTATTTACAACTTTAAAATCCTACAGTTGATATCGATAAGAAGACATCTCAAGAACTGAAAGAAGTACATGCAGTTGTTTCCTGACTGAACTTAAACCGATTTGCTCAGTTGGGATGGATAGTTTTCTGTATGTGCGTACTTTCGGGCCCCAGTTGAAAAATCCAACCTTACATTTGCAGGCATACTGAGTCCTGATCATAATTAAAAGCGAAAATATTAATGGTCATTCAAAACTGTCTGTGCAAAAGAACTGCTGAACAAAATTGCTCCCTGAAGAACAGAGGGTTTATGCTTTATTAAAATAATGGCTAACTTATTTCAAAACGGTCAATTTTCAGTTTCTCCGCAATAAAGAACTCAGGCAATCCTAAAGGCTAGGTGATAGGGTGCAATTGTAGGGAAACAAATAATTATGCCTGTTCCTCTTATTTCTCTCAGTAAGAAAATAAGAACTAATTTTTTTACAAATAAGTCTTAAGGAACATATTTCTACTGGCTTTCTATTGATCTAAGAGATCATTAAATGTGGAAAGATTTGTATGGTATTAGGCTAAAAAAGAATCAAATGGCGTTTAAAAAGATACAAAGGATGCAAGCATTGTGTCTTTAGATCTTATTCGTTCCATCACATTTTTAAGATATTGTGCTTTGCTAGTACATCTGGGAGGTTTGCTCAGAAGCACTCATTCCACTTTTGGTCCCTATTTTGTGGATATGCAAATCTATTTCTCAGGTCTTTCCCAAAATAAATTCACAAGTAAGAACAGAGATCTACTTCTAATCTACTGTGCTGTTCCTTCCCAGATTCCTACTGTGAAACTCAGTTCTTAAATGTGCCTTAAATTCAGTCTACTCAGTTAAATTATAAGCCCTGACTTGGGAGGGGGGTGGCCCTTGTCAAAGTGAAAATTGAAAAAAAAACCCACAAAAACACATTTTTCACAGATAGGGACAAATAATATGTGACAATATTTAAGAAGTTTGAAGTTATTAAAATGACAGATCTCCTGGGAATAGGGAGAGGTATGTCATGGAAGAAACGAAGGAAAAGAGAGACAGGAAGCATTCTCTGGCCTTTTCAATCCTGCTTTTTAAAACAAAACAAAAAAAAAATCTAGAAAAA